CTTGACCTCTACTATCACCCTCCTCCCTAGAATGGGAGTTGGGAACCAGGTATTGTTTGTCTTTATATTGTCAGGGCCTGGCAAAGGGCTGACAAGCAATTCAATTCAGCATTTGTTAGGCACTTACTTTGTCCAGGTGCAGAGGACACCAAGATGAGTGAGAAAGATGGACTAGCTGGCCTCAGGAAGCTTGGACTCTGGAGGAGATAGATCTAGATCTAAAGAAACAGCTCCCATGAGAGCAAGGCTTCAGAAGAGGTAAGTATGAAGTTGTATGGAAACACACAGGTGAGACAACAAAGATCTAGTATGAGGAGGCACACATCTGAGTGGGAAAGGCAGGCAACACAAAGTGTTGAGCCAAGATATAGAGGAGGAAAGAGAAGGATGAGTTTGAAGAACACTATACGTTCTAGTGTGGCTAGAATTGAGGTACATGGGAAGGGATGGCTGGAACCTGGCTGCCATGCTCAGGAGTTTGGACCTTACAGGTACTATGAAAGCACTAGAAGTAATTAAACAGAGTGACCTGACTCAGGTCTGTTTTTAACACAATTACCAGTGATAATGTGAAGAATATACATGGCAGGGTAGGAGGAGATATGGAGAGACTTTAAGGGACCATAATAATATGTAACTTGTTTCTAGTGTGAAACTACAAACGACTATAGTATTATAGGCAAAACTAGAGGCCCGATGCACAAAATTCATGCAAGAGTAGGCCATCACAGCCCTAGCTTCGTCCAGAAGGTTGTCTGGATGGGCATCCGGATAGTTGTTCCGTTGTTTGGCTGTTCGATTTGCATATTACACTTTTTTATTATAGATTTAATAACCTAGACCACTGGGGTGGTAGAAAGAATGCTATGGTGACCAATCAACAAAATGTGGTAGGGGGAATCAAGAACTAGTCCAAATCCCCAGCACTCACTGGATACTGAAAACACACCGAGTGCCTGATACCAAACTACACTGTCTTGGAAACAATGACCCAGCTAGACTTCCCATTTTCCGGAACACGGGCAGTAGCAAGAAACGTGCCCAGCCTATCTGTCAGTATTAGTTGGTTACCATGAACGTATGAACACAAACACTGCAGGGAGGAATGTCAGTGTTCGCAAAATACATATGGGTTCAGGTAGGCTTAAGAAAAAGTACCTGCAATTAAAAGCACATCATAGGACAAAATTTCTGCACCCTAAGAGATCAGAAAACAGACAATACCAAAAAAAAAAAAAAAAAAGGAAAAGAAAAAGAAAAGGCACAGTCATTATTCCAACAGTTTATACTCTGAAAAACCCCCTACAGGAAATTTCATATTCATTTCTATCATGAAATTCAGTATACTAGTACATTCAACACATTATTCAATACCAGGTATTTTTAGAGTTTTTGGGGAGCTATTCATGCTAAAATGCAAACTGCAGGTAATTGGCAACTGAAGATCATTTGCATTACCATTATCCCCCAGCTGACCTGCTTATGTACTTCCAAAAGTACCAAAGTATTCCTATAAATATGCCAGTGATGTCAAACAAATAATAGCAGAAAGTTCCCTCCACTATTTCTCCTTGTGCTCCCAGTTAATTTAATATGAGCCCCGACAATTACAAAGGTCTTTACACCATTTCCAAAGTGGAGATCAGACACCTAAATTTAGTTCACTAAAACCAGGGCTAAACAAGCACATTTAGAGCTAATGGGTCACTCAAGATGACTAGAACTTCCCAATCTCTCCATGTCATTTCCGTTTGTCTTTTTTTTTTTAAGTGAAGTGAGTCATAGTGTATAGATCTGTCTCCTCTTCACAAAACAGAGTCTTTCTCTGAAGAGACTGGTATTTAAATAAACATTATTAGGAAATTTTAATATTCATCTTCTTGGATTATAAAAACATATACTGTATATAGCAGTGAAGAATTTTAGTGAACTATTGTTATAACATGGTTTTAACCTAGATATGCATTAGATCATATTTCATAATGAAAGCAGCTATAAAAACAAGTCATTTGGAAGAGTGGCCCATTTTACAAAGCCAGCCTCTAACATGGAATAAATCTTGTCTTCAAGTCACAAGCTACGGTTGCAACCTCCTTTATATGAAACAATCAAATCATTCACATTTAAAGGTAATGAACAGTGTCAGAGAATCAAAGAATTTAAAGATGAGAGAAAGAGCAAAACACCTGACCCCAACCTTAAACTACTGATGGAGGGCAGCTTATCAGCTATTTTCATTACTTCAAGTTCTGTTTTCTCTTCATTCTAGCTCCAAAAACCAATCCCTTTTCCCCATCTGTGTTCTGTCTCCTCTTAGACAGTCAGACCAACTCAAACTCTAAGCTCACTAGTATTACTTCTTTTCAAATCAGACACGCAATCATTTAAATGATAGGGAACAATTTTTAAACCCATCTACATGTGCTATCAAAGCTGACTTTTTTATAAACCTAAATGCTCATCAGTACCTATGCTATTTATTAGCTCTAACAATTAAAAACAGTTATGCTCACGTTATCAGATTAAGCTTACATAGAATCTTTGCCTGACACTTTTGTTTTCTAAGCTACCACATTCCTCAGCATTCAAGTCTACTTTACCCTTTTGTTCATTGCCCAATTGTTGCCAAGTTTCTGCATCTTTTTGTTCTAGTTAGAAAAGAAGTTAGTGTCATAAGAAATAACTGCACTGCCTTGTTTACAAAATTTTAAGCAGAAATTATATTTTTCTAATCACAATAGACTAAGCAAGCTTAAAATGACTTTGCACAAGGCTGTCCTCATCGTGACATGCTATAAATTGTTAAATTTTTTTTAGCTTCCATTTTCGTCCAACCTGAAACACATTTCTTTGAATTCCTGAGAAAGAATGGTTTCGGTAAATTGACACACACTTTGGGAAATGTGCCACTTTCAACTCAAGGTCATCTGAACTCTTTGTTTTTAAAAATGACACAATGCCCAATAAAGAGCCACTTTTCAACTCAAAAAGGAGAAGAGTTTCTGATTTCAGTGTTAGAAAACAAAAATACCTGTACAGTAGAGGTGAGAAAGCCCATAATGGACAACTCTCTAATGTCAAAAGAAACCACCTCCAGGAACGTGGCAATCCATTAAGGGAATCTCGACATACTGCAAATCTTGACTAAGTCTTGGAGTTCAAATACGGTAGAGGAACTTAAGAACAAGGAGGGAAATTAAAGACGAACCTGCTCCAAGCTCTGGCCTAAAACAGTAAGAAATCAAATTCTTTTAGAATATGAGTTTTTAGAATATGAATTTGTTGTTGCCAACTCAGTTCCGGTATCATAGATTTCCCCCATGCTTCGTGGAGGCCACCTCCACTTGTGACGGGGTATATCATAATATCCAACACTTCAGAGGAACCATTTTTTCATTAAGAACCACTTTAGATTCCACTGCATTAAATCTGACGTAGACAGCATGTCTACACATTCTCAAAGCCGCTAGTGAAATTCACTCAATTACTTCAGAGAGACTAGGCAATGGATACAAACTGTATATATTTATCAATAACTAATATACTTTATAGTCTAAGTAAAAGTAAACCTGTCAAATAAGCTTGATGCAAATCGACATGAAACCAAGCATGCCAAAAAAAAAAGAGGCTTTGTTAGTCAAGCATACCAAAGAATTGCTTAAAGCTTTCTTTCCATTTTAAGTGGAGCTCAAAATAGACTTTAATACTACCGGCTGATAGATCTCACAATTTGCCTTTTGAGCCTATAAGCTGGAAACGGAATACACTGCCTTCTCCCTTTACACAAGTAACAACATCTCTCTATTCTGTGCACCGTTTATTTAAAACATGGAGTGTGGTTTTGGTGAGTCCTCACAACCCCCGCAATGACATTTAATCAGGAGCACATATTTTCTCGAGAGGGCTTAGCTGCTGGTGAAGGCAGACCGCTTGGTGTTTTTAATCTGATGCTTTAGAGATATGTCAGAAACCCTGCCTTCCTAACGTGTAGGCACCACCATAGCATCCACAAGTAGACGAGGACTTGTAAGACCCCATCACCTCAGCCTCCACCAAAGCATTAAGATGCTCATCGGGGGAAGATGCGATTTCGGTAAACATGCTAACTCCCCATGGTCCCTGCCTGAAAGGGTGGCAGCCTTTTGGCCCCAGTGCAGCGGGCACCTCAGGCCTCCTGGCTGGAAGGATCTTTGGCCCGATACCTGCCTGGCTTGCTGCCGCTCCTCTTCCAGCTCACGGAGCAAATGCCTGCTAGACCTGCCCTGACCCCCTTCTCCGGGGCAGCCCACCTTCCCTTCCGCGTTGTGTTCTTCGCAGCACCTGTCACTACCCGAAATTATCTGCTCATGTGTGCGACTGTCCTCCTGGACTCTGAGCTCCACGAGGGATGAGGTCTGGTCCGTCTCATTCAGTACACACCACCTCCGGCGCCTGAGCGGTGCCCGGCACGGAACGGGCATCGCCAATTCACATCCATGAAATGAATGGACAGGAAGGGGGAAGGGGACTGTCACCCTCGGGACTCCCAAGCACACGGAGACGAGGGGAAAGGAAACGTGAAGGCGGGAGGGGGAGTAGCCCTTGCTCCCAGGGAGACAAAGGAAGAGAGTCTGAGGTGGTCCCGTCTAGAAAAGGAAGTGGCGGGGGCGTTCCGCCAACCCCAGGGGACAAAGAGTGGATGGGAAGGGGGGCGGGGTCGGGGTGCGAGGGATGCGCGCGGAGAGCCCGGACCCGCCGCCCCCGGGCGGGAGAGGTCACCGGGCTGGAGGATGCGAGGTAAGTGGGGGACCCAAGGGGACGGCGAGGTCCGGGAGGGACGAAGGCCCACCCGAGGGACAAAGAGAGAGGGGGCCGGCCTCTGCCGCCGTCGGACTGAATCCTCAAGCAGCAGGGCCGACGCACCGGTCGAGACCCAGAGGAAGCACGGGGCTCGGGGTTCTGCGGGGAAGGTTCACGCGGCCTAAGCGAAGGGCCTGCCGCGCTCCGGGTTGCTCCCGCACCTGGTAAATGGCCGCCCAGCTCCCAGCCTTGTCGATCTGCTCGAACTCCTTTTCCATCTCCATGACGGGCCAGGGCGGCTGCTGCGCCCCCTCCTCGGCCTACCGCGCCGTCTGCCGCTCTAGGCCGCGTCGCGCACTCTGCCGGGAGTCCCGCTGCAAGCCTCGGCTGCCACCGCTACCGCCGCCCTAGCCGCTGCTTCTTCATGTCAACCCGGCAGCCGGAAGTACGCACCGCGCTGCTGTGGGCTCCGCCCCCACAGTGAAGGCCAATCAGCGGTCGAACAGGTCAGCCAGCACTTCCGCGGGGTGGAGTCAGGGGGAGGCGCTGGAGGAAGCCGCCTCGGCCCCGCGAGACCTCTCGCAGGGCTCGCTCCCTCCTCCCCTCCGGAACTCCGAGCTTGGGCGGGGCGCCCGCCCGTTGCCTAGGCGACCCCGGGAGCTCGACGCAAGGCGCTAGGGTTTGCCAGGCCTCCTGGGATAGTGAGATCAAACCTCTAGGAGGCCCATTGAGTCACGGAGTGGCCTTGAAATAGTCATGTATCTTTCCTGCAACGCCAGGGCCCTGGCCTCAGTGCTCCAAGCTGGAATATGGGCCTAGGAAGCATGCTCCATTTCCTGCCTCCCGCCTCTGGCCAGATGTCTGCACGTTTTTTTCATGAAACTTAGAGCTTTATTATTTACCAGGCTGCTGAGGAAGACCCTCCTATTCTCTGTACTGCCCTTGTACTGAAATGCAAGCTTTCCGTTGGAGGTCTCCAATTTCGGGCGCTGCAGGAATGGATTGAGGTCCTGGCATGATTTTCAGTTTCCCAAAGTATCAAGGAATTCTTGCCCAGACTGGACTCAGAGGAGCATTAATTCCAGGGTGCATTAGAGTGTCGGATAATACAGATTTCTGGGTCCAACTCCAAGGAATTCAGATACCAAGAATTTGTACTTTTTACCAGCAGCCCCAGCTAATTGTCCATCTATGGTCCTGGAAGCACATATGAAAAGGGCTGGTCAGATTGCCTTCCTGCAGGTTCTACTTGAAGCCATCCAGCTCTGGCCTGGCACATTACATGGAATCGTGAACTGCATGAGGTCAGAGAACCTAGAGGACCGAATCATCCCTGTTTGCATCTCAGGCCTGGCCAGAGCAGCTGCTGGTATCACTGGTTGAAATAGTTCCTTGAGTACTTGCGGCAGACACTTGCCTGGGATTCCAAGTACACATTCTTAATCTCCACAACAATCCTACAGAATAGGCACTACTATTATTACCACTTTATGGATGAGGAAACTGAGGTGCAGAGAAACAAAATCACTTGCATTGCGCATTGGTATGCAAGCCAAAATTCTAACCCAGTCTCCAGGGGATTGCTTTGGAGCCAGGCTGCCTGGGTCCAACTTCCAGCTCTACAAAATACTAGCTGTGCAACCTTTAGCAAAAGACCTAACCTTTCTCGGCCTCTGTTCCTTCCTTTGTAAAATTAGGATAATAAAATTACCTACCTCATAGGGGTGGTGTGAAGATGGAATAAGTATATGTATAGTGCTATTAGTATAGTGAGTAGATCAATAAATATTAGCCCTCGTTATTATATACCTACCTCCATATAATAGCAATTGGAGGGGGGAGGTAAATGAATTCTTATTGAATAAATGCAATTGATTTCATAGGCAATGTCTTTAGAAACTGGGTGTTCCATGGAGGAAATTAACAAAAGATGTCCATTCTGGTGGAAAGTTTGGGAATCCCACACTTAGAAGCTGCCTAATTTAAATCTTAGCCCGTTTAAGTGACTCCAGGCTCTGGTATACTCTTCCTGTCCTCATTGATTTGAGTGCTAGCTTGTCTGGTACTCACAGAACTCCTTGGGGGACGAGAGAAGAGGGCTGGTTCATTCCTATCATTGTGGGCTGAGCTAAATAAGTAAATAAATCAAATGCCCATCTGGAGCCCAAGTGGCCCTCAAGCCTGCAGGGAGTGTCACCCAAGGACTGCAGCAGCCTTTGAGTGGGGCCAAAGCTACGCACAAGTTCTTGATGGAAGAGAGGGGGGCTGCAGCAGGCTAAAGCAGGGTCCAAGTCTGGGCTGTTTCGTGGTTGTGGTAATTTCCTAGGAGTGTCATAACAAATCACCACAAATTTGGTGGTTTAAAACAACAGAAATGTATTTTCAAACAGTTCTGCGGGCCAGAAGTCCACCATCAATGGGGCCAACAGGGCCACAAGCCTTCTGAAGGCTCTAGGGGAAGGACATTCCTTGCCTCTTCTCGCCTGGTGGCTCATGGTCCCTTGTCTGTGGCAGCATCACTCCAATCTCGGTCTCCATCTTCACATGGTGTTCTTCTCTGTATCTCCCCCAATTTCTTGTCTGATATTTGGCGGGGAGGAGGGACCCGTGGTACCAGAGTCTGCTATGCCTTTCTGAGTCTTCCTTTCATTTGTAAAGCTCGCCAATTCCCTGCCAGGGTCTGGCCTTGAACCAGCCAAGCTCTTGAATCCCCAGAGAAGTGATGGTGGTGATTGGGAATCATCTAGTGATGACTGGTTAGAAAATAAACAAATGACCATGTGTCATGATAGCTGAAATCTTTTCCTGGCAGGCATGATCTCACGCGGTTTCTCTGGCCTTTCCTCGTGGATTTAGCTAATGGAGGAAATCAATGACCCATTAAACTTTTAAAAATGTCCTAAAGAGTTTCAGTGGAGAAGGACGACTGTTTCCCAGGGATCATCGACTCCTAACTTAGCAGTGTCAGCAAGTTGCCTCGTCCTGGTCTTATTCCTGGCAGATGGCTCAGCGTTAAGAGCTTGGGATCCAGAGTGAGACCAAATTGGTCTCTGATGAAATGTCACTTCCTCAGAGAGGCCCCTTCTGATGCCTCCTAGTAAACAGTGCCCCGTCACTCTATCCCTTTTCCTTCTTAGCACTTACCAGGCATTTGGTGTCATATTTTCTCCCCAGGGTTACCACAGCACTATGTTAAATATTTGTTTTAGGTGTTCATCGTCTGTCTCCACCACTAAATGTTGATTTCCTGAAGAAAAGAAACTAAGTCAATTTGGTTCAATGCTGTCTTAAGCTACAGGTCATTCCAAGAAGAGCCCACGAGTCCTTGGAACATTCCAGAAACTGAGAAGACAGGGCTTCTTTCCACCATAGGACTCAGAACTGAAGGGGCCTCAGGGTCCCCCAGCTCCCTCTGTCCACCACTGAGGACATGCAACCAGGAAGGGAATGGCCCTTCCCTCTGAGAGTCACCCATGCTAACATAGTGTGGGCACCTTGACTAGTTGGTTGATTTGGGGATCAGCCAAAGACACCCCTGAGATGGAATAACTAACCGAGGCCAAAGCCAAAGGCCAAAGCACTGGAAAAGATGCACAGAGCTTCCGCCTGCAGCCACAGACAGCGCCAGGTAACAATGTTGTCCAGCGTTTTCTATTTCCCAACAGCCCTGCAAGTCAGGCGTTATCCCATTTTTCAGATGAGAAAATGGCTGCTCAGAGAGGGTAAAGAGATGAAATCAACACAAACACCCAAATACAGAATGGCCCCGATGTTGGAGCAATGGGCACAGCAGGTGAGAAGCTTCTATATCCTGGGTTGGCTACTTACTGGCTCTCAGGCCATGGGCAAATTGCTTAACCTTCTGGTCTCAGCCTGGATGCTTTCCAGTGAGAAAAACCCAACTGAATGTGGCTTTCAAAACGGGGAATTTGCTGGCTCATGAAACTGGGAAGTCCAAAAATGGCTTGCTTCAGGCATGGCTACATCCAGGGGCCCAAGCAATGTCATCATGACTGTCGCGCAACAGCTCTTTTATCTGTTTCCCCTTGTGTTAGCCTTACTCTCAGGCAGGTTCTCCTCCCGAGGTAACCAAGGTGGGCCCAGCAGATCCAGGCCCACAGCCTGCCAGCTCAGCAACTTCAATGTGAAGAACACTTCTTTTCCCTGCTGGTGCCAGCACAAGTCCTGGCCTTGAATCTCATTGGTCCAATCGAGCCTCACATGCCATCTCTAAGCCAAGAGAAATATTGGCAAATGAAGAAACTGAGGCTCCGAGAAGTCAACTTCTTAACCAAGATCCCACAACTGTAAGTAGTGAAGTAGGATTTAAATGCAAGCAGTCTGGCCTCAGCCTCCGAGCTCTCACCTATGCTGTACAGGCTCTGCAAGGTTCTCATCGCTACCATGAGTCCTCAATAAACAATAACCACAAAGAGCTAATAATAGTTCACTGCATCAACGTGGTGAAGCCTGTACTATTATTATCCCCCATTTGAACCAAGGCACAGAAAGGTTAAGCAACTTGCCCATGGTCTCACAGCTAAGAAATGGTGAACCCAGGATTTGAACCCACTGTAGCTCTAGATACTACTTCCAGTTCTGAAATTCTATGAATGTGTGTGAGTTCTGCACTGTTTCAGAACTCACAGAAAGTTTAACAGCTCAGAAACTCCTTGTTCACATCTTCCTGGGCTCTCTTCCCTAGCCTCGTAAAGACTCCCCCACTTCTCCACCCCCACAAAGTAGCTTAGACTTTACTTCAAGGCATTAAAAATAAAGCAAGAATAGCCCTGACCACCGGCCTGTGGACTGAAGGGTCCCGGGTTCGATTCCAGTCAAGGGCATGTGCCTTGGTTGCGGGCACATCCCCAGTGGGGGGTGTACAGGAGGCAGCTGATCAATGTTTCTCTCTCATCGATGTTTCTAACTGTCTATCCCTCTCCCTTCCTCTCTGTAAAAATCAATAAAATATATTTTAAAAAAATAAAACAAGAATAAATACATTAATCTAATCCTGAGCTACTGGTCCTGTAAGGGTGACTGTCCCAGTGGGGGGAGGAGAAGGCGCTCAGGGGGAACTAGGGTATCACATGGGTTCTGAGAAAGAAGGCTCAAGGCCTGGGGGAAGGTCTGAGAGGGAAGTTAGACCTTGCCCCATGCTTTCAGCAAAGGAGGAGTCTGGGCGGTTTCCAGAGGTCACTAAAACTCCGCCCCGTCCAGTTGAAGGGTCGGGATGGGAGGACACTTTGGTCGCATATACAGTGGTTCTGGGCTCAGGTTCTGGACTCTGGCTGACTTGGGCTATGTGCCCTTGGTCAAATTCCTTACCCTCTCTGATCCTGGGTTTTCCATCTGTTACTTAAAGCAAGGATGTATTGATTGAATGAGATGGTGTCTCAGCCTGGCCTCTAGTTCACAACAAGGACTCAATAAATGTAGCTGTTGTTACTACAACTG